TATGTATGTATGTATGTATGTATGTATGTATGTATGTATGTATGTATGTATGTATGTATGTATGTATGTATGTACCTATATATGTATTATGTATATACCTATGTTTGTATGTATGTATATGTATACGTGTCATACTGTCGTGTATCAGCAGTTAGTTTATATAAGGGCCCATGAAAATTTTTTTTTTAGGGTCATATGACTGATTTCTTTTTTAACAATACAAGCGTTATTTTATCGTGAAATATTTTTGTAGTAGGTACCGTAAAATATTACCAGGCGGCTTGTTAAAATAAAATACAATTAATATGAATGTCACGCTGTCAAAATAAAATACAATTTATATTTTTCATTAAAATATATTCAAATAAATCATAAAAACGGCTGACTATTCTAAAACGAAGATAAGTTATTTAACGATCAGCTAGACGGCGGGAATCAATGAACGACCTATAGTTAAGGAATATGTATTTAATTATAACCATTACTTAGATAGTAATTAATTATAATATTACAAGATAATAATACATGGAAATAAAATAATCAATTATCTGTTACTACAAATTATATTAGTTTATTTTTGATTACTATAGAAGTATAGAGTTAAAAGGTCATATATTTTATTCTAAAAGCATATTTTGAATGTTTATTGTAAATTAAGCACTTTGATAAATCAAAATTAACAACTATTATTTAAATAAACTGAATAAACTGAATAAACTGTTAATACATATAAGACAATATTATAAAATAACATTAACAGTTTTTAGGTCTAAATTATTAAATTATTTACCTTTACTCCTCCTTCTCGAATGAAAATGTTACTTATTTGTGTCACTGTCTAACACTTCTTTTATGAAATGTAGGTATCTACCTCTAGAAGTGAGATTATGGAGTGCTTGAGGCATTATGTCGCTCATAGGCTAAAACCTAAAATGCACATCGCCCATGTAGGTGTGTAACTACCGAGATCATAAAAATTTGTAATTTAAATACGATTGATCAGAAGTTCACTGAAACTAAGTACTGAAAGATACTTTCATATTTCATTATTTTTACTTTGCATAGTTTATGTGGTACTGACATATATACAACAACCAGTGAAGAACCTTGTAGCTAGTACTAGACATCAGAAAACTCTGCACGGACGCGTCGTCATAAATTTCATACGAATAGAAATACAAGTTTTGACGAAATCTTAGAGCAGCCTAAATATTTTTAAACTTTTATTGTTTCCATTTGTTGTGTACACGTTATGTACATCTAACGTATATTATATTTAAAATATAAATTTTTTTAATAAAATATGTACTATTTGTGCCTCTGATTATAGCGACAAAAATATTCTATAATCATCAAAAAAAAAAATAATAATAATAATAATAATTACGAGTCACTATTAAATGTAACTGTGACTTTGAAGTTTAAAAATTGATTGTCACGATCAGTGGTAACCAAAATATTCTGTCACTGTTGTTACACCACTGGAGTCTGGAATGTGGTAAGCAGCGCCGCCGTCACGACTACAGGTATTTATAATAACGTTACTGACCAATGACCATTACTATTTACTAACTACGTGCCCGTAGCACAGCGTACCAACGACACCGTCTAAATAACACATCCCCCAATAAAACCGCCCACTACCCAGTGTGGCAATCTGTAGTAGGTATTAATGATCAATGATATTACCAAACCTAACCTAGTTACAATCCAAGTCGATGTTTATTCCTTAATAAACGGCAGTCGTACAAACACGTGAACAGATGTTCTCGTTGAACATTTTTTTATTCTTAATTAGATTAAAAACCAACAGAATTTTAGAGTAATTTTTTTAAAATTTTTTATGATTAATTTAAAATTAAAATAAACAACATTTAAAAGGTAAATTAAGAAATGTTTTTTACATAATATTATCTAGTCTAGTATTATAAAATTTTTGATACATACAGAAGAACCTCGATTATCCGAACCTCTGTTATACGAACGTTAAAACTCATTAAAGCATTCGATAGTCGTATTGATATTTTTTTCAAAAAAATATAATAAACATAACATATGTTTCTATGTATATAATGTAGGTATGTAATTTTAATAAAATATTAATAATAATAATAAATATTTGACTGTTTTAAAAATTTATTTATTGTGTTTTTTTTTAATTTCCAATATCTGCATTTTTGCATATCTGAACTAGATGCGTTCCCAATTAATTCGGATAATCGAGGTTTTACTGTACCTACCTACATTGTGTAAATGGTGCATAATAAATACAACCTATATAATACGATAAATAGCGCCCTTTGATCTTTGAGAGCTGATAAGATAAATTAGTTTGACATTTTAAAAGCATTACTTACGACTTACCATTATCTTTGGCTTATAACAATATAAATTTAATATGCTATATATTTCTATTTACTTTTGTTTGGTTCCTTATTTTTCATTTTATATTAAGCAAATAGTGATCCTTTTTTAACCATCAAGCCTATTTAAAAATATATTGATATCCAATATGTTTGTATACAGTTGTTAAATATTAAAAAATGTTCATTAATTATTATTAAATATTATTTTTATAAATATAAATAATATTCAAGGACAGTGTTGGTTTTGGACAACAGTCAACAGTTGTAATTTGCTTATAGTGAATTGATAACTTGGAATTTGAATAAATATAGTTACACTGTTGTGTTGTTAACTTTTGTAAAAATAAATAAATAGTAGTTGATTATTCTATAATATAATATAAATATCATTAAATTAAATAAACAAAAATGTCCAACTTAGTAATTAGATATACAATATTTATTTTAACACCAATATATTTGATGAATACAATAATTATTTAATTGTTTAATTAGTAACATAATATGATATAAGGACAAAATTATTAAATATGTTTATTTTTATAGATAATTATGATTATAATTTTAATATTCAGTTGTACAGAATAAAAAGGTACCTACATATTATTTGCCTTCATAATAGAACTGAAGAAAAAAGTAAATTGATGGTATTTTTATATTCTGTTTTGAGAATTTAATTTAATTAAGTTTGCTATAATTACTATTATTTTGCTGTGTACCATATTTATCTCAATATAAATAATCAAGCTATGGTACTAAATATTATTTTTAACATTTGCAATGAAAAAGATGTGTTCAGTAGTTATTTTAGTACCAATTAGTAAAAATAATTAGTAGGTATTCTGGTATTCATTGATAGAATATTTTGCCTCTACCTATTTAATTTGTTAAATTTGTTAGACAAAGAAACTTAATATATTTTTTAATAAATATATTATGATACCAAATTATCTTCTAGTATGTTATTTATGTATACTTATGAATGTTATTATTTACTACCTAACATATTTTGATAAAATAAAGTATACATTTATTTTAATTTAAATCATAGTTGTATTTTTCATAAATTAGAGTGTTCAAAATAGTTTCAAAATGTACATGTTACATGTATAATTAAAACCAAAAAGTAATAATTAAATTTAAAGTTTAATTCATTTTAAAATTATTAAAATTATGCTTGTTAATTTTTTATGAATTATATTTTAAAGTTTTAAATTAAATACATTTAATATATCTCAATTCAATATAATGTTTGAAATACTCATGAAATATACCTAATATTCTTATTAATTGTATTTAGTTGAAATTTAGTATAATTAATTATAATAATATTATTATATTTATTTTATTTTTTGTGCATTTTTCATTGGCTAACATTGTTGATGATTAAAGTATCTAAAACTTTATTGTAGATATAAGGAATATAGGTGAAATAAGTTTAAAAATGTTGAAACTAGAAGAACATATTCATGTCATTGATGATAAAGTGACTGTTGAAGAAATTATTAAGGATATGGTTACAACAAAAGTAATTATTACATATTTTTTTAATTTGTGATGATAAACTAAATGGTGTTACATTTTATATTTTAATTTTTACTGTTTTAGAAAATATCAGATCCATTTTTTATATTTGATGTTGGTGATCTTGTGAATAAAGTAATAAAATGGCAGCAAACATTACCGCTTATAAAACCTTTTTATAGTAAGTTTAGACAAATATTTAATTAAATTTTATAAAATGATACTAATAATATTTTAGATAATGTCAGAAATATTTAAATGTTTTTTTTTTTTTTTTATAATATATTTATACATATTGACTAACAATAATAAAATCAGTTAAAAATTTGACAATATTGTAAACTATTATATTTTAGGTTTTGAATAGTTCATAGGTAGACACAACATTTTGTGTGTTGGGTTCAGCATACATTTTTAACTGACTCTACAGAACTATAAGCAGCTTTATACTTTAACCTTCCCTCATAATGGGTTTAAGATAAATAAAAGTAACAATAATTATTTATCGTATAATACATTATTATTTACTTTTATAAAAATATAAACAATTTATTATGTGTATAATAACTGTTATATAATATATTATAATATTGTGGTTGTATTTGTAATATCTGTAGTATCTGTATATTTAGTGTAGTAGTGTGTATATTAGATTTCTTTGTCAATATGAAATATATTTATTTTAAAACTTCTCGAAATGGTAAAAAGTATTATCATAAAAAAAATAATACCATCACATTTTCTCATTAAACTGACTATAAGAAATATATTTTTTAATAAACAATATGCACTATATTAAATTGTACAATTTTCTATATGTTGTAAAAAAGTATAGAATTATTACTATATACTTATTTTTTATTATACTAACATATTATTGATAGTTACTGGAGTAAGTATTGCTTCTATTGATTGATTTACTTATTAAGTACTTATTCTTATTATCATTGTTAGAGGGTTGGCTTTTTCTATGTATCTCATGTAAGTCAGGTATTTTTTTGTAAAAAAAAAAAAAAAATGCTTTATTGACAATTGATAATTGGTAATTATACCTTCGATGATGAACTATAAAAAAGAATCTAATTGTTTTGTTTTATTATATTGTTATACTATAATATGTTGTAGTATAATTTTATGATTTAATATTTTAATCTTATTCTTGTAATATGCTTAGTTTTGACCCATCAAAAAAATGTTGGACCTTACATTGACATATTTGCAACTCGTAGATTAGAAAATATTGATTTAGACAATATTTGATACTGATTACATGATATTACTTGTACAATATTAATAGCCAGTATTAATAGTGGTAAAGTGAATAGACTATATTTTTTTATTATTTTTTGTTAGATCAAAATTTAACTGTTATTTTGTAGTCTGAGATTACATATTGAATTCAGAGGGAAAATGAACGACAGATATTTAATTAGTTACTATTGAATAAAAATAATTAAAATATAGATACAAACATAATCTAAATATGTAATTTATTTAATTTTAAGTTTATTATTATATTCAAATATACATTTCAGCTGTGAAATGCAATGACAACTCCCTTGTGCTATCAGTTTTAGCTATGCTTGGAACAAACTTCAACTGTGCTTCCAAAGTAAAGATATTTAAAATGTAAATAAAACTTTATTAATTAATACTAAGATTTAAATGATTTAATTAAGGGTGAAATAAAAAAAGTTTTGGATTTGGGAATAAATCCTTCACGTATTATTTTTTCAAGTCCAGCAAAAATGGCTTCACACATAAAATATGCCAAAAGTACACGCGTTAATATGTTAACATTTGATAATAAAATGGAATTATATAAGATAAAAGCTATTCATCCTTCTTGCGAGTAAGTAAAAAAAAAATGTTAAATCAATATACAAAGTTGTTAATATTTTGTTTGTTGTTTAGATTGATTATACAAATTCATCTTAATCCAAATGAAGTACAGTATCCCCTTAATATCAAATATGGGTGCGATCCTTATACTGATGCACCAATCTTAATGTTAATAGCCTATAAATTAGGGTTGTCTGTTGTTGGAGTAAGCTTTCATGATGACTCGGAGCACCATAAATCATTTTCCTCTAAAGAAATAATTACTGCTGTAACACATATTTTCCTATTTGCCAAGGCGATAGGTTTTAAGAATATGCACATTTTGAACTTTGGTGGAGGATTTCCTGGAAATAAAAACACTTCATTGGATTATGTATGCATCTTGTTAAAAAGGAAATTTATAATTTTATGTTAAATTATTTTTTTTTAACATATTATATTTTAGGTTACAAGCTTAGTGGATGTTATACTTAATGATAATCTGTTTCATGGAGTGACTATTATAGCAGAACCTGGTAGATATTTTGTGGCTTCAGCATTTACACTATCTACAAAAATCTATTCAATTGGAACCCGTCCAAGTGATAAAAATCATATTATGTATTTCATTAACGATGGAGTTTATGGTTCTTTCAGGAGTATTTTTAATGGTCACTCAGTTGTACCTAAATCTTTATATGTTAGTAAGATATATTTTAATTATTTATTGATTGTTTTACAATTAGTTTATTTTAACATTATTATAGGAATTTCCAATACGTCCAATTTGTGAGAGTTCCATCTGGGGACCTACCTATGATGATTTAGATCAAATAATTGAACTTGTCAATATGCCATTGATGGAAATGGGTGAATGGATTATTTTTGAAAATATGGGAGCTTATACAATATCTGTAACTAGCGAAATTAATGAATTCTCACTTCCCAAGATCTTTGCAGTTGCTAATCATAGCATTTGGTTAGTTGTTTAAAAGTTTTATAGTGATCATTTTTTTTAACCTACTCTTGTAATAATTTCTTAAGGAAACAGTTGAAAAACTTAACATCAATATCTGAAGATCATTCCTCAATCGTGACCATTGTTTCTGCAATCAAAATGATGCAATTAGAATTCAGCAAAGATAATACACAGAATAAAAATGATTTGTAATATACTCAACATTATACATGTATTTTTATCTGATAAATTTTTTTTTAATACGAGTTATTAATGTTTTATTTATTTAATTACAATGACTGAATATCCATTTTATTATGTCTAAAATATTATTCAATACTTACAATGATTAATTAACCTTTTGTAAGCTATGCTTTTATTAAAAGTAATGAATGAGAAAATATACCTGAAACTTTCAGTTTCATATTTTCCTACTTCTGAGACTCTTAAACACATCCATCATACAAACATGTTAATATCTTATTTTGTATTGAGCAGGCTTGTGAAGTTTTCAAATAATTTGTTAATGTTTTAAATATTAAAAAAAAATAATAATTTTTCTTGGTTTTTAATTGCAAAATAATTAGTAAATAAATAGAAGTATCTTTTTCTAGTTAATGTTCAAACATGTCAACATTAAATTTTCGAATAAAAAAAAAGTATTATTGGATTATGTATTTCAAATATACATGATTGCTAATTAATGAAATATCTATATCTGGAAAGTATTCTTAGCAAGATTTTATTGATTAAACTTAACCCATAGCCATAAGTATAGATAATTAAAGGTAAAATTAACTAGATGTATTCTAATTAACTGAACAATTTGTTTAACACTGTATGTTTGCTTTTCATTGAAGATTTAATTATCATAAACACCAAAAAAATCATATGATGGCATTTGTTTTTATAGAAGTAAATAGTACAAAATTAGTCACAATAAGATTCATCATAGCTCTACTGAATTGTGTGTTTATTCCCTCAGTTAAAATAGAAAATTTTCTTTCTATATTCCAAACACTTTTTTCAATTGCATTTCTTTTACCTACTAATATGAGCTAAATTAAGTGCTTTCTATGAAAAATAAAAAATGTATCTTGATACATTAATGATTATTTACTATCATGTATCTGTAAGTGTTATTGTGCAATAACTAATAAGTAGTTAGTTAAGTTTTTAATTTACTCGATAATTTACTTATATTCAATAGTGGAGTTATACCAAATAAAAAACCATTATTCTCATCCATTGTCCTCAAACTTTGGTTTGGCTAAACAGTCGTTTAAAATTTTGATATTGTGAACAAACTCTAGTCATCTATAATAAACCTATAAATATAATAATTCTGTATTTCCTATTTTGTGTAATATTTTACAAATTAACATTCTATATAGGTTCTTGAACATAAAAAGAAAATAACTTTTTCTATTAGTTTCTTAAACAATTATTTGTGGTTCCGACATATCACTGGTACTTAAAAAAGACAATTAATTTTAATAGCATTTAAAAAAATTGAAATATCAATTCAAAGTACTTTACGTATTTTATGTGGTATGGCCATACTTTCCGGTGGAATACCGTTTAGTGTAACCAGGCTCGCTTTCATGAATAATATTAATATACCCACATATAAGAAACATTTATATTACAATGAACTACTACTAAATTATATGTGTTTATAACATCACCCAGTTCAAATAAGAAATAGGTGCTAAATAGTCACTATTTCTCTCCAATCTTGTAAGTTGTAACTTTAGAAGTCTACATAAATATTTACTTCTTGTGAAGACTGTAGGCATAATTGACGACAAAATAGGTGCATGTAAAATGTAATAAGTTTTTGATGGTTCTTTAGTATTATTGATATTTGTGTTGAAGGACTTGGCACCTTAATCAGCATAAATGCCAAAAGGTCTATGTTAACCTAGCGTAAATAAAAATGCTTGAAAATTTATTACAAGATTCCTAATAAACGGTTAATTTCAAAATTAAAAAATATTGAAAATGTATAATTATATGATTTTTTATAAGTATTTCAACTTAAAATTTAATAAAAGGGTTTTTATGGGTTTTGCTACCTATATTAAAAACATTTTTACTGGAAAGTCAATTTTATTTTGTATAACAGTTTGAATTTAAAAGTTTTATGACGTATTTCACTTCTTTAGTAACTCTTTCTTCCCAAATGATTTTGTTTTTTTTTGTTGTTGTAAGTAATTTAAAAGCAAATAACCGCATACATTGTATAATTCTTAAAATATTTTAAAAAATCTAAAAAATATACAAGCACATTTATTTTTATAGACATTTGAAGAAGTTTGAGTTTATAGAAAATTATTTATTTTAACCATGATGAACAATGTTAATTATTTTGATGTAAATTAAAATATTATTCGCGGGGGACTTACAATTTTTATGTATATTATATTATTATTAATATTACTACACGTCTATATGCAATTATATTTTTGATTTATTTTAAGATATTATCTATTTATATTATTGACCTATTTTTATTGTTTAACGGTATTTAGTTAGTTATATAAGTTGATATAATATGATATAAATACATATTATTAATATGTATAATATATATATATAATAATTATATACTAATAAATATAATCAATTTAATCAATCTACAGTACTATACTAGTAAAATAAATTAATTGAATAATAATATCAAATAAGGTGAGCTTAGGTTCTTCTCTTCTGTTCTTAGTGTACAGTAGATGTCTAATCGTGAGTCTGTAATGAATGTATTAAACTTCAATTTTATGATGCATTATTGTATATAAAAAAATGATTTTGAGTGTTTTTGCTACATTTTGTATAGTTTCTTCAAAATCAGGAACTATTTTTGAAGGACTGATTTATAAATTAATTTTCTGAATATTAATATAGTAATATGAGCGTGTGGCACTTTAAGCACGTGGAATAATTTCAAAATTACATCGATGTATTGATTAGTGATTAATAACTAACCGAGAAGTAACAAACGGAACTGATTCAATATAAGTATATAAGTCTTAAGATATTAGGTCACTAAGATATACCTAATCTTAAAGATAAGATTTCAGTCAGTCATAAATCATAATTAATATATATATATTTGAGCGTAATACGCTATAATCATACTTGCAGAATAAAATGTAATGACTTTTTTATTTTTATTTTTTAATGGTGAAAACAAAATATAATTTAAATAGTTATAATTTGTAAATCTAGGTAGTTTTTAGAAAACATTTTTTTATAAAAACATTTATTTAGAAAAGTAGTAAAAAAAGTGCTTTAACAAAAAAAAAAAAAAAAACCTATGTATTGAAAATTTAACTAATGATTTGAACAAATGTGGGAAGTTCATTTATTAATATGTGCCTGCAGGTAGGGAGGATGAATAGGTCTGTTGTCTGTATCCGACAGAATTGATATGAAGATATAAACGGTAGCCGTCACCTGGAGGAATCAATACAAACATTTTTCTTAAGCTAATAGTTTTGGCAAAATTAATATTCCCCTATGAGCTTGGTATAATATCATTATGTATATATTTGACTATTTGTAAAACAGTAGGTTGAATTTATTTTTGTTGAAAATATTATTTTTTTGATTGGTGAAAAAAATACATTGACATTTATAGCTAATAAAAAATTGTAAAAGAACATTTCAAATGTCTTTAAATAACTCAGAGTCAAAATGTTTTTAAAATTCTATCATATACATTATACAATAAATTATTATGATACAAACATTTGGTGAAAATTTCAAGTATATTCCTTTTTTAACTATGATAAAATTAAAAATTTTTGATAATAGTTATTTTATGGGTTAATATGCAATGTCGTAAACTTCAAATGATCTTAAAAAATTGATTTGAGTTTTGGTAGAATTTTTTTTTCAGATATGTTTTAAAACTTATAAAGAACCTTTTATGAAATTCTCAAATTTTAGTTATAAAAAAAAAGAAATTCATGAAATACTCATATTATTATTATTTATTTTTAACTACAAAATAATTTGAAAATGTTTGATAGGTATAATACGAATTTTGATGAAATTATAAATTTAACTTAGATATGATCCTTGTATTAAAATATTTTCAAACATTTTTTTACTCAGCAAAATTTATCAATATTTATAAAAAGAAAAGAAAATTTCAAATGTCTATTAATGGTCAAAAATATTTTGAAAATTATGTTATAAATAGAAAATAATCATTTAAACATTTGATGGAAATTTCAAGTACTTACAAACTACAGTCATTAGTTTTTGAGTATGCAACGAAAAACCAATTAATTACAATTGTTAGATGTAGTTGGTAAGTACGTAATGGATAAGGTATAATACAGAGTTTTCATTGTATAGATATAATAAATTTAATCAATTTTAAATGAGTATAACTTAATAACTATTTACAAAAAGATAATATAAAATAACATAAGCTTATTGCTCAAATGCACCCTAATGGCTTTAGTACCTAGATATTGTGGAAGTATAATATAAAAATAATATAGACATCAGACTTGTCAATATTGTCTAATAATAAAAGTATGAATTAGCTATTCATTGAAACTCAGCTTTTAACAACTTTACAACATTCAAAACAGGGAAATATGTTACTTATACGCTAATCAAACTTCTTTTTTTGTAAGCATTTATTTTTTCGTTTCATAACATAGATAATTTACTTTATGGTATTTTTAAATGTTGAAGCCGAAGAATGTCGTACTTCAATAGAAGTATTCATGAACACTAGATACAAAAAGACTGTTTAAAATGTTTCATGTGCATAATACGATAGATAATAATAATTAACAATATACATTATTTTGTCATTATAGGCTTAATATAATGACATACGTGATTAGAAGCGCACGTGACTGATGAGTAGCAAAAATTTCGAGTACGTTTACGGACGTCACGTCAAGTTGTGCAATAAAACGGAAAAGATCATAAAATATAAAAGTGTAATACGATATACGAAAAAAATGTATTCCAACTCCAACCATGGACTGGTCGCACGATAAACTCATGGGAGACACGTCACGCCGTCGCCTCCATCGCCGAATTGCAGAAGGCTGATACGAGTGATACGACTATCTAATATCTATGACGATGCGCGGAGTACAAAGTAGACCACCAGACGGAGGCAGTTGACTGTTGTGTCGTGTCGTTCCGTTCGGAGCAAGACGTGGCGGTGGTCTCGGGGACGTCTGGGTTTGTGCACCGTTGCGATGCCGCGCGAAACGTTTCGCACCGTACGACATACGACCGAAAACCTTGGATTCTTTTTTATTACCGTGTCGATTGATAATAATAATTGCCCGCTTCCTCTTTTGCACCGTCTCTCTCTCTCTTTAACTCACTGATAACGATACGCGTTTCTCCGTAATCCAGACACAATAAATAATAATAATAATAATAATAACAAATAATATTAATATTATTAATATTAATTATTAATTTCTCGCGACGATGTCGATGTGTAAATGAAACGGTACGGGCCGTGTCTAAGTCATCTTCGAATCTGTTCATTTTCATAATTTCGCGTTGGCGGTTCTCACGTCAACTCGCCACCATGGTAGTCGGCTGTTCGGGTCACTGTAGTTGAGTGTAGAAAGTGCGACACGAACGTTTTTTATGCCGATCCGTTTGGCGGCCGATCTACTACCGACATATGACGATATGACATGTGTGCCGGGCCAGTGACGACGGTTCGGTGATCGTGTCACTAGCAGTGACCCGCCGCCCGATCGCTCGGTGTCCATAGCTATTGATGTGTTTGCACGTCATGATGTCATCGAGCACAAATCGAATGATACAGCCCAGGAACCTGGCTTCGATATTGATGAAATTGCACGGTGCGTTCGCTGAAGCCATTACATCGCCAAAAGCTTCTATCGATAAGCGCACGCTAGAGAAGACATGGAAACTGATGGACAAGGTTGTGAAACTGTGTCAACATTCCAAGATGAATCTGAAGAACTCACCTCCATTCATTCTCGATATATTGCCAGACACCTATCAGCGACTTAGGTTCATTTACACACAATATGAGAATGACCTTTCTGAGCTATACAACAATGAGCATTTCAACGTATTTATTTTGAATGTGATACGGAAATGTAAACAAGCCATTAAATTGTTCAAAGAGGGCAAGGAGAAAATGTATGATGAAAATTCACACTATAGGAGAAATTTGACAAAATTGAGTTTAGTGTTCAGCCATATGCTCAGTGAGCTCAAAGCGTTATTTCCAAACCATAGATTTGCCGGTGATAAGTTTAGGATAACCAAAAGTGATGCTGCAGAATTTTGGAGATCTAACTTTGGAATTAGGTAAGGCTTAAATGTATACCTACACAACTTTTTAATAATTTTACTACTAATAATGATAAGGAAAATGTAGAAAATATACTACCTTAAAATAACTAAAATAAATTTTATGAAACAATTTTAACCTTCTAAGTACTAATATTAATTGTTTAAATGTAGTCCTATATGTTTAGTTTGTTTAATAAATCTTTAATAAATAGATTACTCTTTACATATTTAAATAAGTATCAAATATGAATATTACATTTATTTTATATTATATCAATAGGTTATCATATTAGTATGTGTCTATCTATTTAGTTTAATAAGTAAAAAGTAATTCAGGTGGAAAATTATTAAATCTTTGAATTATTTATTAATATTATATTAATAATAATAGGTACTATGTCCCAAAAAGAGTTTGTATCATATCTGTTGACATGGCTTCTTAAATCAGTAGTTTTGAGTAATCTGAGATGAATAACCTCCCTGCATTTAGTTAAATATTAAAATGATTAAATTATGGTAGCGGTTATACATTATTTCATGAAATAGTTTATTGTAGTTCTTAATTAATAAATGTACCTACCTACTCAAAAACCTACAATTTATGTAATATTTATCTGATTGATTATTTGATCATGATTAACCTCTACAATTTTGTCTTACTAATGTTAGAATTTGGTGGCTCTGACTCATTAATTTGCTCGTCCAACTTATCTTTTATTTAATTAATTTTTTAAAAAACAATTTTAGCTTTTATCTTTATCTTTTTACTTGAATCAGTAAACACCAGGCTTGTAAAAAATGTTGAGTTATGTCTTTGTATAATATTGTAAAAATAATATTATCTTAGATATATTTTTTAATTAGATTTATTAGGTATGCTTAACAAAAAAAAAAAAAAAAAATGAAATAATTTTAACTACTTAATTTTTAATAAATGTCTTATAAACATTATGTCTTTTTATATTACATACTAAAATGACTTGATACTCCAATATAAAATTTTAATTAAATTCAAAATTATACGAGATAAGTAAATTTGGTATTTTTTAATTAAAAAAAAAAATTTTTTTATTTAATATCATACATTTTTAAAGGGTAATCATGAATCATATATATTTTGCAATGTAATGAATAATAGTAGCTGTCTGAGTAAATATATTAACAAACATGTAATATTAGTTCATAATATTGCTCTAAATTAAATTAATATATCAAATTAATTTTGATTAACAATACATTAGAATCTTGGTAATACAATACGTCCAATGATCTGGTTATATTAACCTATAATTATCTGGAAAATTACCATAAAATTAGGTACTATCATAAATGATTTTAAAACTTAAATACGACTAAGTATGAATTGATTAAATCTGAATAAACTTATTATTATTTTATTTTTATTCAGTTAATGTTGATGTGTTATGCATTTTTATTGTGTATCGAGTAGATATTGTGTTGTATTATATATTACATACAAACCTGTCCATCAAAAGATTAATTCAACACAGTATGTAATAAATTAGTATATACCTATGTATTATTTATATGTTTTAATAAAATATAATAAGGTAATACAATACGTATTCATATTTTATTTTAAGTAAAAATGTAAAATTCAATAAGTAAAAATGCATTTTTATGTGAACCCTATTAATTTGGCAGTATTCTGGTCTGATATCTGTTGAATTACTGAGATTCTACTGTATTTATGAAATTTAACTTTTTAGTCTGTTTAACATAATAAAACAAAAAGTATTCAAATATTGGATAAGTAAAATATCTCTACCTTTGGGTAAATATTTATCTTCCCGTGATACAAACTTTAGATATTTATTTAAAAATAATTAAAATATTTTAGCTTATAGTACAAAGTATTTTTGATAAATTTAAATTATCAACAATTTAAATAACATATATCAGCCCCTAATCATAAAGCCCTTTAAAATTTACTGTAATATTATTAAAAAATGTATTTATTTGATTAATACTTCACCATGTTTAAGCTATTGTGACTTGATTTTATCTATCTAGATCATCTACTCTAGATGATCTAGTATAATAGTTATTTATAATAAAAACAAATTGTACTGTTTTTAAACCTTTACATTTTCATGAAATATTTGAAATTTTACTCTACTAGATTCATATTGTTGTATACAATAATTATTATAGCATACTTATCATCTAATTAAATTTATTATTTAATAAACTTAATATTTATTGAGTTTTAAATAAATGAACTAAGTAAATAATATTTTAATTTTTATTGATAAAAATTGTATTATTTAAAAAAATAATACAGTTGTGTTTACTTATGTGGAACTAGATAAATATAGTCGAATAGATATATTTATCTATTTTGAAAGAGCTGGTTTTGGCTCTTCTAGATTTGCATTGCAAGAATTATTTTTGCACCTCTTCCTCTATTCACATTCTAATTTGGACACCTCTAACAGGTTTTTCTTACTTTGATACCCTTTATCATCATTATCAATTGTATCTAAAGTCGGCCCTGTATTTTGATAACAATATCAATTATGAACAAAAATTTTAATTAAAAAATAGCTCTTTTTTTTCACTATTTATTTTAGGAAATCAACATAAATGTATTTTTCTAAATCCTGACAAATATTGCGGTCAATTTGTAAGTTGAGGATATTAGTATTTGAAATAAACGTATATCAAACATTATCTTATATAATAAATAAATTATTGAATACAAATTCCTTCCTTTAGCTTAAAAATCCTACCATAGTAATTTATTTTATTTTTATTAATATCAAAAAAAAAATAACATATATGTAAGTATTTAAGAGGATGCCACATTGAGTTGAATAGTTTTGTTTTGCACAAGTTAACTAAAAACTGTTGTAATTATTTGAATTATAATGTAATTTAAGTTATTCAAATATATGTAGATAAAATGTTTCTTTCATTCTTTAAAATACATGTTTAAGTACACATATTTTAAATTGGGGTTCTTACTGTAAAAGCCTACTAATATTAGTTTTATTTTTATCTGAGTTGTTTATCTGTATATTCATTCATTAATAATTGGTTTAGATATTTATAAATGTATAGTTTTTTCCTTATTTATTTATTATTAATTTTGTTTCATTGGTATTTGTTTTCACGGTGTATATAATTATTTTTAATATTTATAATAGCACCGTAATTAACTATTGTTAGTCATTAAAATGTATTTTCTTAAAATTATATTTTAATTTATTGTGCAAATTAAACTCACAAAGGGGATTTATGACTTATGATTGAAATATATTAGAAGTTAAAATAATAATAAATGTTTTGTTTATTTTTATAGGCAAAATATTTTTATTATATAGCTATATTATAATTACAATACATTATTTTGTTTTAATCACCTTTTCATATTAACTTATATTAACATTAATTATTTTAGTAAATTTAATTATATTTATGTAACTAATTTACAATTTATTTTTATTTTATATAGCACTGTAGTTCCTTGGAAACTATTTCGTAGTGCCCTTAATGATGTTCATCCGATTGTCAGTGGATTAGAAGCAATGGCGCTCAAATCAACAATAGATTTAACATGTAATGATTACATATCAAATTTCGAGTTTGATGTTTTTACCAGGTAAATTAATTATTTATCTAAACATTATTTTTATAAATTTATAAAATTTATAACTAATTTATTTTTTAAACTGTAATATTGTTTAGATTATTTCAACCTTGGCCAACTTTATTAAGAAATTGGAAGATATTAGCTGTTACGCATCCAGGATATGTTGCATTTTTAACATATGATGAAGTTAAAGCTCGTTTAGAAAAATTTATCACTCGTCCAGGGAGGTTTGTAATTTTATATAAAACACTTTTTTCAAATTATATATTTAATACGATATATTAATCGATATACATATAAAGATAATGTATTTAACTATTAATACTTGATACTTTTAATAAGACATAATAATTTAATATTACAAAGTATACATAGATACTTAGCTATATTAATTATATAATATGGTTGGGTATAAATATTTTATATTTTACCAAGTATCAGAATCTATCTCTTGAATATAATTGATTCTAGTATTAAGTTTCCAAAAATTAAATTAATTGTTACATTCATATAACTACATAAAAATAAATTTAAATTTGTTAAAAAAAAATATTTAGTATTCTATCTTTTAGACTTTAGTGTTCAGACATTCTATACGTCACATTAGACCACCGATTTATGTCAAAAAAAAAAAAATAATAAAAAATAGAAATATCAGTTGCTTATTTTTACATTTAAACAAAAATAGTATAGTTATCATTAGTATTAAAAAAAAAAAAAAACAGTAAAAATTTTAATGATATTATAACAGTATAAAATAATTATTTGTATTTTATATATTTATTGTTAATAAGTATATAGTTTAGCTTATTAATTAATTATATTGGTTTGTTATTAGTTATGTATTCCGTCTTAGCTGCACACGACTAGGACAATGGGCCATTGGTTATGTGACAACTGAAGGTGAAATATTACAGACTATTCCTCAAAATAAATCTTTATGTCAAGCATTATTGGATGGCGCACGTGAAGGATTGTAAGTGTAGTTTTACAAATGAAAAAAATTATTACATTTTTAATTATTTAAAGCATTAATTGCATTTTATGTCAAATTATTTATCATCTAATATGTTTTAACATTATTCTATTTAGATGGTAAAATTTTTCTGTAATCTTAGATTTAAAACTTATTTGTATATTTAGAAAAAAATAATCTAGTGTAATATATTAAAAATAAAAATGTTCGTAATTCTGCACAAAATGTGGAAAATGAATTAAGTATAACCTTTTATGATTATTGTTGTAATAAATGTTACGTAGAATACTGTTCAGAAACCATTATTACTTTTTCATCATGGTTTAAAAGATTTTTGTTAGTTTATTTGGAAATAATTCTCATTTTTATGTACAGAAGCTAATCACTATCTATAGTACAGCTGTCAAATCTTAAACTTTAGGTATAATATTGATGTTGTTATTTACTGTGTTGTAAATTAACTGTTTTTTAGACTTTTTGTTTCTGTTTTGTTAAAAATTTGAATTTGTAAGATATCAGTTTATTAATAAATGTTTGAATTTTATTCAGTTATCTCTATCCAGATGGACAAAAAGGAAATCCAGATCTATCAAACGCCGTGGAACAAAGTCCAGAAAATCATATCAGAGTTACACATGAGCAATACGAAATGTACTGTGAAATGGGATCTACTTTTCAAATATGTAAAATATGCACAGAAAATGACAAGGACGTTCGCATTGAGCCATGCGGTCATCTTTTATGCACACCATGCCTAAATTCTTGGATGGTAAGTTAGCATGTACAATTTCATGTGTTATACCTAAGTCTAGTGAATTTTGTATTATTAGTTTTACATTGATTACATTAAATTAATGATTGTATTATTTATTTTTTCTGTCAGGAGTCTGATGGTCAGGGTTGTCCATATTGTCGAGCCGAAATAAAAGGTACAGAACATGTTGTGGTAGACCCATTTGACCCAAAGAGAGTCAAGTATAAAAGTGTTCCCATCATGCCCATTGTAGTACAACATTCTGATGACGAAGAAGAAGATGAAGATGACGAGGTGGTGAAATAACATACGGTGTCGTCGTCATCGGCGACATTTTTCCAGCAAGAAAAGTATGATAGTAATAAATAATAATAGTTAAAGAAAAAAAAAAGTCATCGAGACTATTTTACTGTGATATCACTTTGTAGACTTATTTTAATTTGTCTGCATTGAATATTTCAATTTAAATGTAACAACAAAATTCCCATTGGCGATATGTATGCCAATAGGTATTTTTTTTCGTATGTGATAACTAATATATCAAATAAAATATTCGAATAAAATGTGATAGAAAATAAGAAGAGTAAAATATTTATATATTAATTATATTTTTTAATTAAATCAATGACAGTAGGATATAATGCGATTGAGTATAGTGATAACGTTTTAAGATACTATGTGATTGTGTGTTTTTTTTATATTAGTTATAAAATTTATATATTTGCCCTAGTTAATTTTTTGAACCCTATGATTTGAAATTTAATTCCATTTTTTATTTTTAACAACTGCTACGTATTAAAATGATTTATACTTTTTATTTAAATGTACTAAATGGACACACATGTTATAAAATGTATTAGGATTAAAAATATTTCTGCAATAAGGATAGCAATATTAATATTTTTTTATTTTTCCAGTAAATACTATTTGTTTATTTTAATTGTATGGAGGTTTTTATTAAGTATAATTGAGGTATTTAAAAATATGACTGTATAATGTGACAATCAGTTGTTGATTTAAATTATTTCCATAGATTTATGTTGTCCTATTTAGAACGTAGATAGTAATTTTTACACTTGTAACAAATCAAGTTTAAAATAAAAATAAATATTTAAATGTTTTGATCCATAAGATTTTTAATTATCGGGTTCATGGTAGATTTATGTAACAATTGTATTATTATTCATTGGTTTTATATGTTTAGAAGTTGATTTCTAGTCTCCAAGCAATCTAGTCTAGTTAAGAAATTGTATTTTCGTTTCTATAATAGGTATATAATATGCATATCTCTTAACTCTAATACATTTAACTTTAAAATTTTTCTCGCATAGTTATATTTTCTATTTTTTTTATTACATACATTTTTATGTATTTGTATTATACTATTATATCTCATTAATTGTTTGAATTTTGTACATTTTCTTGATAATCTACCACGGTTTGGTTGGAATCAATATGCACTTTTCTGTTAATATGATTATAATATTATGTAGTGTTTAGTAGTTGCGTTTTCTAGAGTTAAATTGTGATCAATATTTTCTTTGTCTATTTGTATTATATTTTTAGTATATTTAATCAAAATCATCGTCGATATGAAACTTTACGTATCATTTTGTTATAAGAAGTTTAACTTAATATTTCTGTAACAATAAAATATTTTACTCTATTGTACACGGTAACCAAAATTTTCATGATTTTATTTTTAAACAGTTTTCAGTAAAATCTGATTTTAATTTTTTCTTTATACATATTGTATACTATATGACTTTTAAAAAAATATTTCTACTTTGACCAAATGTACAAGTTATTGTATTAATATACTCTTATAATATATGTATATAATATTAATTGTTTATACTTTAAAGTATAGCAATGCTATACAAAAAATATAAAAAATATTATGTAATATTTATTATTTAGATTTTAAACACGTATAAAAGCAATAATATGTACAAAAATTATTATTAACTCTAATTGTAAACAAACTAAAGTAATGTTTATGTTAGGGGCCTTAAATATTATTGTAATATTACGAATACAGGGTAATGTAGTCTGCAAGAATTGATTTCTTGAGATGAATTCCAATATTATTATTATTATTATAAGTTGTAGAAAAATCTGTTGATTATTATATTTTTTTATAGCCCGTGGTGGCCAATTGACAATTATTTTTATTATTATTATTTTATTATTATTTTTTATTGTATGTCAAGAAAAAAACGTGTGTGATTTCTTATTGTATCAATCTTTGAGCTTGAGTAAAATAAGTAAAATAAATCAGTGTACGTTAAAATAAACCATATAATTTGTGTAAGATGTAAATTATAAGAAATGCGTATTTAATATATACTATATTTTAGTATTTATTTTATTCATATTCACTTAAGTTTGTATTGCTATCATAATTTTTGTAACATATTATATATTTTTTTTATTTGTAAATAAACCAAATAGCTAATTATTTATGGAATTATTATCATTTATGGCGATTTGATAATCGTGTTGTATTTTGAATTGATCTGCTTAATATACCTAATCTTGTTTATAGCACGTAACATATATGGTGTTGAGCATAAAGAAAACTGTAATTAACTAATGGTTTAAGTGGATAAAAGTTACATCTTATATCTATTATTTTAATAAACATGCATTCATTGAATTTGTTATTTCGTAAACTTAAGTCATCAGTTAATCATATTTTTTTTAAATTTATTATTATTATTATTATCATTATTTTCACACAACACTGAACAGTATAAAGTAGAGAAAGGACTTTATGTTCTAAAAAAAATCATCAATTATGTATAAAAAATTATAAATATGCCTCTCCAAAACATATTATTACTTTAAAAAATTAAATTTTTTCTTTAAATATTCAATTTATTTTATTATTTTTATTTATTAAAAAAATATAAATCATGTTTAAAAATAATTGATAAATAATCCTCAAGTATTTATCTTACTTAAATCAGAATTTCACTTAATTATCAATATTTCTTTGGTGCTGTATCACTTACAAAAATTAATACATTGTCATGTTGAACATTGTTAGGCCATAATAAAGTCATTGATTTATCAAATAATTTTGCTATTGTTGAGTGATAAACTTTTTTCAACATCTCGGATGTCAACAGCATATTTTTTTCAGAATAATTAATTTATAGTGTTAAATAGCTACATGCCATAAATTGCTATTGATAGTCTCGTCAATGGATATCCATATTTTTTTCGTTTGAACAATGACCCTATTATTTTTCGTCAGGCACATATCTCTTTGCATATATTTTTCCAAAAAACTCTTAAAATAAGACATGTTTTTTAGTTTATAAAGTGGTATACTTGCAGATAACAATATTTTACATTAATTTGAATTACATTCCGATAGTTTTGGGTTAGGGTTTTTAGTGTTTTTACCAACTGTTATACATTATTTATTTTTTTTCTTAATGTGCTGTACTTCTGATGACGTTTTTATCAGTTTTTAGGATACTTGAACGTTTTTCATTTGCTACTTTCATGTTATAGATTTTACAAAATAAAATAAAATTATCCATTGAAAGTAAAAATTCATTAAACACGACTTCAAAATTGTATAAGCTTTTAACAATTTTTCTTTTAACATATTGATTTTGTTAATACATAAATTAAAACTAACCTAACGCGATAAAACGTGATACACACATGTATTACGTTCTCTTGAATGTTCTAGAGCTAAATTATCATTGTACCACATACTATTTGTTATAAAAAATACGTAATAAATACTTGAATGTTATTTAATCTACATAATGACTATTAAAATACAATTTAGTCTTTATCATCATTATGACAAATTCACAGTTTAATATAATAGTTCTTTGTATGATAAATATTGACTCATGAATAATATTCATTAAAGTGCTTAATTTTCGTTAAATCACAAATATATGCACTAAAAACTTAGAGCACCTACTGATCACTGACGTTATGAAATTAATTTTGTACTTCATAAGTATACGATATAGTTAATCAGAAAAAATATGCAAACACACGAAAGTACTATACACAATAAAAAATCTTATGGATAAAATGTTTATCTATTCCTTTATGGCAGTAAAACTAATTAACGATTGTAATTGCATTGTTTTATGATTGTCATTGACAAAAATAGAGGTTTTGATACCAACAAATAAATAATAACTTTTTCTACAAGTTTAATTATAGGTATAATACTTTGGTCTTTTGTTCAGTTTGATGAATATGTTTCATTTATACGCATATCTACAAAATACATTTTTATTTAAACAACGCGTATCTAAATTCTCAATCTTATAATGTTTCGAATCTTCATTATTTTCTTGATTTCCTCTGTACTTAATGTATCTTTTATATTATTATTATACTAAAAGTGTAAACGGCACTGTTTTTATTAACCTCCTATTATAATTAAGAGAATTGAGAAACATAATTATTCAATTATTTTTCAGAAATATATTAAATAGTTTTTCGATTCTCCCGAATAATTATTAACACCGTAACTTTGTAGTTGGCATATGATTTGCCGTTAAAATCGTGTTATACCGCGGTTGCGGTGAGTTTGAATTCAGGTTACTGCTGTGGTCGTGATGCAATAATATAATAATATGTAGGTACCTAATATTATTATTTAGAGAAATTGAACGAATAGATGAATGTTAAGCCTACCTATGTTATACGTTCAATGAAAACACGGATAAAAGTATAGTATAATATTATAATCTATAATATATGATACGTTTCTACTGAGAAAATCGAACAGCGAACAATAAAATAATATTTTAATGATTTATAATAATAATAATAATAATAATGACCGCGGACAATGACTATATTAAACGACGAAAGTCGAGAAACGTTGGCGCGTATGTAACAAAACACAATAGAAAGTATTATTTCCGGGCCAATCAAATAAAAAACACTATCATTAGACGCCTCCTCCGCCGCCGAGTTCTTCTTCGTACTGTTTACGGAAACAATCTCCTACCGGGAAAAAGTCCCAACACCGTTGCTGGTACATATTCCATACGTATGTTTCTTGGCCAGTATATTCCGTGTCCGGTTTGTTGATCAGATGCATAAGGAAAAACCTGTAAACGTCGTGACACAACAATAAGCGAATTTTCGTTGTAGCAAGGGGGATAAAAAATGAGTTTTTCATGCGATCATGTCACATATTATCTGGACTCTCCAAAGTTCGAGGAAAATCGATGAATAGGATGTAAAAGTAATAATTTAATCTGACCTGATCCAAAGTCATTTATTACACCGCTGTGGAGGGTTGATGTAGGTACGCTTAGTCGGCGGGTTACTGGTAATAATAATATATAGATACTTGTATAGGTACTCACATGTAGTTGGCGAGGTTGTGTTCTTCTTGCACGTGTGTGTCAAAACCATGAGGCACTTTATCGAAATAATCTTTGCCGATGCCGCAGATGAAACAATTGGACTCCATGTCCTCCTTGACGCTTTCCAGTTGGTCACGAAGCTCTCCGAATGCGTCAATGATCAAACCTTTAACAAGAGTAGATATTGTTTTAATGGCTAATATGTATAGCAGGTATAGATATAGTTACAGTTGCTATAAATATCTATATTAAAGACTAAAATATATATTTGTTTATACTACACAACTTATATTAAACCT